CCACCCCACCCCCACCCCATGCCACCCGAGAACTGCCAAGCTCACGGCTCGTCCTCGGGGGCTTCTGCAACGACAGAGGCACTGAGACCTGTCTGATCCAAGACATGGCTTCCTCGGGAGGTCGACCCCCAGGACAAGAGCTGCCTGTCTTCTGGTCACAGCCCCTTAAAAGAGAAGCTCTTCCTGAGCTTGGCGGATTTCTCCTTAAAGGAATCATGAAGTCAGCCACCGGCTCGTGCTGAGGGGCGAGGCGAGCACCCTTCTCCCGAGGTCTAGGAAGGAACTCGTGCTTGTTCTGCAGTTCTGGGGCCCGAGCGAGCTCGTACCTGCCACTGGCATTATGCAGAAGGAAAATGTGTGGTGATGCGTCCTCTTTCCAGATGGTTCTCATGGATCAGGGTCCTCCTCTCCGCCTCCAAGGCGCTCTGCCTTTTCTCTCTGTTTTTCCCCGCGAATGAGCCTCTGTGTCTGCTGTCGTCCCCTCCAAGGAACCTGTTGATCCCTGAAGGCTTTCCTTCCGAGAGACCCTGGGCCAGATTCTACGTGAGGCTCTACGAGGCAGAGGGGCTGCCCAAGATGAACTCCAGCATCATGGCGAATGTCACTAAGGCGTTTGTGGGGGACAGCAAGGACCTCGTGGACCCCTTCGTGGAGGTCTCCTTCGCTGGGCAGACGGTAAGGAGGCGCTGTGGCCACCTAAAATAAGACAGAAGCTAGGGAGTGCCCTGAAGGGAAAAGCTTATCACACAGAGGTGATGAGACACGTGGCCGGGATGTGGGTGGGGGCTGCCCGCTCACCCCTCACGGAGGTCAAGGAAGGGTGCTCTGGCGGGCAGCACGTGACTTGGGGCCCGGTTAGATGGGCATCCCTCCTCACTGGCTCCTCCTCCAAGCTACTGCCCCGTGCCCAGTCCTGTGGAATTACCACCATCTTCCCAATCCATTCCCCGTCCACCCCCGTGATCCTTGTCCTATGTAAGCCTCGATACAATTTTTCCTGCTTAAGAGCCATTGGAAGGATCAGGGCCTGGGTCCATGGTCGGAGATTAACCTGCGGCAGCTGATCCTTGAGCTTTAGCGGACACACGTGTTGCCTCTGTCTTTAAAATACACTCCAGGACAGGGCTTGGTGGCTCAGCCAGCCTGTCATCCCAGCACTTTGGGAGGCCAAGGCAAGTGGATTGCCTGAGCCTGTGGGCCTGAGACCAGCCTGGGCAACTTAGCGAGACCTCGTCTCTACAATAAATCAAAAAATCATCTGGGCGTGGTAGCGCATGCCTGTAATTCCGGCTACTTGGAAGGCTGAGGCGGAAGGATGGCCGGAGCCCAGCAGCTCGAGGCTGCGGTGGCCGTGAGCGTGCCATTGTACTCCAGCCTGGGTGACGGAGTGAGACTCCAACTCAAAAAAATAAAAATAGAATAAAATAAAAAAATACACCCCTACCCCGATCCCCACCCCATGGCAGGGGTCAACTTGGAGTACTTTTTGCCTGGGCTGACCCTGGAGGTCATAGATGACCTCACCTTCATTTTATGACGAGGAGCCTGAGGCCCAGACTGGAGAAGGGACTCACACAAGGCCACACATCTACAGAATATGAGCTCAAGGTCTGGCTGGATCCAGGTGCTCCTGGGCATGACAGAGCACCTCCTGTTTGTCACGTGGGTGTTGGTTTCAGCTCGAACCCAACATGCTCTTTAGAACTACCCGAGGGCCAGGCCGGGACTTCCCTTGCCGCAAATGCCTGGCCAGTGTCCAGCACAAAGGAAACTGTCAGTGCCGCTCGCCGAGTGCAGTGGACTTTCAGGGGTGTTGTGGGGGAAGGGGACAGGTTCATCGTTTTTGGCAACTCGCATTATACTTCCGGCTGGTCGTAAGAACTTCCTCTCGTCAGTCCCTCCCTCCGTGGTCTTCCTGGTTGTGCTTTTAGGGACGCACCACGGTGCAGAAGAACTGTGCGGACCCTGTGTGGCATGAGCAGGTGGTCTTCAAGGAGATGTTCCCCCCCTTGTGTCGGAGGGTGAAGATCCAGGTGTGGGACGAGGGCAGTGTGAACGACGTGGCGCTGGCCACCCACTTCATCGACCTGAAGAAGATCTCCAACGAGCAGGAAGGCGACAAAGGTGAGGCTGGACCCAGGTCTCGACGGCCAGCCGGGAGCCCTCGTCTTAGGAGGAGAGGGCTGGGGGCAGGCGGCGTGTCGGCCCGCTCCCACGCCTCTGTGGGCTCTCGGACCGAAGCGGTCCAGGGCCGTGGGTGGAGCCGGGCTCGGGGGCCTGAGGTTCGGTCTGGTCTCCGGGCCTTCCACAGACGTCACTGTGGGTCCTCAAGGAAGTCGGTCTGGCTTTAACTGAAAAAATGACATGTTTAGACTAGATCAGAGGCTGGTAAGCCGAGGTCCACGGGTAAATCTGGCCTGCTGCGTATTTTAGTTTGGCCCACAGCTAAATGGTCCCCAAAATATGAGCCCTCAAACCGCAATGGGCGCATGAGAGGGTGAGATGCAGGAGGCGTGGCTGACTCTGCGGGGAGCATGGTGGGGGTACAGGGAGCGGTGAACCCACTGAGCCACCAGGTGGGGGCCGGTCCACGAGCTGCCACTCAGTCACGGCAAAACTCAGTGAAGCGGGTGATCATTCTCCAGACAGCTCAGCAGAGCCTCGCTCCCTTAAAATCCTCAGGGACTCTTTCTCTGTCCTACCAACGCGTGCCAGTTGACAGACATAGCAAACACACACGTGTATATGCATACGTAGGCATAACAGCGCATGCTTATTGCACACACGTACTGCCCAAGCACAAATATATGCATATATGATATGTCCTAACTATATCATACTGTGTTATCCTATTACATGAAGTTAGTGTAATTATTTTATTTTTCCTAAGTTGGACTAAAGGCATGTCAAGGGCAGAGAACAAGATTCACACATTTTCATCCCGCAGAGAGCAACCCCCAGGACGGTCCCCACGAGTAACGACGTTGTCTGATCTCCACGTCAAGGATGTGCTGGCCACGGGACTGTCTGTGTGAAACACACTCAGCCCTTCCACACGTCTTCACAATTTGACGGAAACACGTGTTGCTCGCAACTTTCTAGGGACGTCTTGATGTGGTTCAGGAAAATACGTATCGGTGGTTTAGAAAGCAGACATCAGGAGCAGTGAAATCCTTCTATCCCTTTAATGCAATATTCCTGCGTCTTCAAGTCTACTCAAAGGAAGGGGAGACTCCAGTCCTGGAGAGGAGGCGGGAGGGATACAATGGGTGTGGGCATGAAACTGTTAATAACAGTCGAGCACATGGAAACAACTGATGGTCAACAGTGGAGCAGCTGATGAGCCAATCAGGGTACACCTGCTTATTCCTAAGAGTGGCTAATATTCTCGAGTCTTTCCTAAGGGTCTGTGTGAAGCACCTGGTAGATGGGATCTCTTTTCATCCTGATGGGTGAGATAGGCCCTGTTATCATCACTGTCTTGGAGATGAGGAAACGGAGACACAAGGAAATTAAATACACGTGCCCAAGGTCACACAGCTCAGACGTACCAGAGCTGAAACCTGAACCCAGAGCCACCAGGCTGTCCTGCCTGCCTGTCATTGTGTTCCCATAGACACTGGATTTTCTCAGACGCTGTGTGTCAAGAGAGGAGAACACATATGTCAGCAGGAGGTTACAGTCACCAGGTCTTTTCAGGTCAATGTTTAGAACATATCTTGGAACCCTGACTCCCCTCGACCTCTGCTGCCTGTACCCAAGTTCAAGTTCCCGGTCTTTGGTGTTGATGACAAAACGGACCCCAAGCCAGTGGCCCCGTCCATTTCTGTCCTCACAGCCCTTCCCACAGCAGCCAGGGTGGCCTTGAAAGGTGTGATTAGGCCACGCCCAGTCTTTGTGTAAATCCCTTTACAAACTTTCTGTGGTATTTGGGATAAAGGTCAAAATCTTGACCAAGGCGCCCAAGACCCACCCACCTGTCCAAGCTCTTCCTTCATGTCAGCTCCAGCTCCAAGTGCCTTTCCAGCTGGCCCAGGCCATTCCCTGTGTCCAGAACACACACATTCTCTATCGCTGTCTCTGTCTCTCTGTCTCTGTCTCTCTCTCTGACTGCCTAACGCCCTTTATCTGTTCTTACAGCACAATGTGCATCTCCTCAGTGTTTAGCATGTATCTACTTTGTTTTCCACCGGGCTCTGTGTCTAGTGTCTGGCACAGTCCCTGGCACGTGTTGGGAGACAATGAACATTCGATGAATGAACGTACAGAGCAGAATGCGGGTTGGTACTTACGGTATCATCACAGCTATGAACAAGTGTCAACACAAATGGAGAAAAGACTAGAAGGGAGTAGCAGAATGGCCGTCACGGGTTGTCTCTTGGTGATGGGCTGTCCTGGAAATAGCCTCTTCCATCTTCTCTGCATGTTCTGCATTGTTAAGTGAGCACGTGTGGCTTCCCTAGACATTCCTAGACATTCTACACTTGACACATCTCCAGGTAACCTCCGCTCTGGGTCTCCCTAGGTTTCCTGCCCACCTTCGGACCCGCTTGGATCAACCTGTACGGCTCGCCCAGGAACCACAGCTTGATGGACGACTACCAGGAGCTGAATGAGGGTTTCGGGGAAGGCGTGTCCTTCAGAGGCAGAATCTTGGTGGAGATCGCTGTGGAGATCCTCTCGGGACGGGCACAGGAGTCCAAATTTTCCAAGGCCCTGAAGGAGCTCAAGTTGTCTTCCAAGGACAAGGACTCCAAATCTGCCAAAGGCTCGAGCAAAGACAAGGCAGACAGAACTGACGACGGGAAACCCCAGCAGGCTTCAGACAAGACCCACTCCACAGAGGTCGAGGTGGAGCTGTTCGACGTGCCCCCGGAGGTGGGTCTGAGCTCTGCTGCACATGCCCCGTCGGGGGTGACCCCGAGCAGAGACACACCCGCCGCAGGCCGCTCGAGTCTCCGCCCCCACAAAACCTGTGTTGGCCCAGCTGGGGTGGAGGCCGTCCTCCACCCCCTCCCGCACACAGCTCAGCCATCCCCTCGTGGTGAATTCCCCCAGAGGCCCCCTGGACACGTATCCCCATGGCAACCCCAGGAAGGAGAAGGCCGAGTGCTCTGGGGGTGGTGGTGGGAGTCCACGTCGGGGGTCGATGCACCACCTGTGGCCTAGTTTTGTTCGGCCGTGTTGGCTTAGCGTGTGCTGTTGGAGGTGGGTTAGGGACGGATGGTGATGGGAGGAGGTGGGTGGGGACGGAAGGGAGGAAGAGGAGGTGGCGGATTGGGGTCTCAGCAGCGAGAACCTGGTCTCTGCCCTGAAGCTGTGGGAAGCGGCCTCCAGGGAGGCTCATCACCCACCAGGAAGCATGTCAGCATTTCTCTAGCCTGGTTCTGCGTCGCGAGAAAGAGATCTGAGACGCCGAGGGGGCACAGGCCGCAAGCATCCTCCCACTCGCTTATTTGAGCCACGGTGGTTTGTGGTTGAGCAAATGAGAGAGTGTGGCGTCCTGTTGGCAGCAGAGGCGGGTGGGTTCCTGATCTCAGGGTGGCCAGTCCTGCCTCCGGACATGTGTCTCCCAGGTCCACCCGACACGAATGTGGGGCAGGGGGCACGTGGTCGGTCTCCCAGAGCCGTCCATTCCAGGAAAGACCAGACACACCAGAGGAGGGGAGCGTGCAGGTCACCTCAGCCTCGGAAGAGCCACCCGTTTTTGTCCCGGGATCTAAGACATCCAAAAAAGCGGGGAGAGGTTCAGCCTGGGGTCAGCTCTGTGCACGGTCTGACACCGATGCCTCTCCTGTGTTAGCTCACTCGCCACACAGTGAGGGGGTGACCGTCACTCTGTCAGAGGCACCTTCCAAGGGCCAGAGGAGGGCATGCGTGTCCAGTGGCCGGCAGGCTTCTTGGCAGATGCACAGGAAGCAGGCGATGCGTTTGTGGGGGTTGTTGTCATTAGCCTCACTGTGGTTTGTTCCCGCCAGCAAGGAGCACCTATTCAGAGCTTGCCATCTTGTGTTTTGTTTTGTTTTGAGTCAGGGTCTCACTCTGTCGCCTAGGCTTCTGTGCAGTGGCACAATCATGGCTCTCTGGAGCCTCGACCTCCTGGACTCAGGTCATCCTTCTCTCTCAGCTTCCTGAGTAGCTGGGACTACAGGCGTGTGCTACCATGCCCGACTAATGCTTTTATTATTATTGTTGTTGTTGTTATTTTGTGAAGACAAGGTAACCAAACAAGTGGAAGGCGATAAGGGCATGGGGCGGGGGAATGCAGATAAAGTGCTGTTATCTCCTGGAGTGACCGAAGTATAATGATTAAAGTGTTGACCCCTGAATCAGGTAACTGGATTTAGGCTGTGGCAGGATGGGGCAGTGGCTACCACCTGGACTCTCTGGAGACACATTGGCTCCTTTTGAGTCTCTGGGCAGGCGACTTAACCTCCTTAAGTTTATTTCCAATATCTTCCTACTTTGTAGCCTCTTTGTGAGGATTTAATGAGTTAATACATGCAGAGTGCTCCAGACAGAGTCTGGCACATAGTAAGTGCTCAATAAATCCTAGCCAGGCTTTTCCATTTTGGACAGACACCTTACGCTCTCCCTGAACTGTGGTGTCCTCTGTAAGCGCAGGTCATAAAAACGCCCCCCTTCTAGTGTGCTTGTGAGAATCACATGAGATCATGCAGGTAAAATTCTTAATACCAGATATGGCATGTAGTAAGAGGCTAGTACACACGGCCTGTCATCTGATTTTTACCAGCTTAAGAAGTCAAAGTGTGCTTCCAGAAGGGAGGGCTTGGCCTTGAAAGATGGCTGGAAGGCAGACATCAGTTCTGGCTAGGTGTGGTGGCTCACGCCTGTCATCCCAGCACTTTGGGAGGTGGAGGTGAGAGGATTGCCTGAGCCCAGGGGTTCAAAACCAGCCTAGGCAACTTGGTGAGACTTAGTCTCTAAGAAAAGTCAAAAAAATTAGCCGGGCATGGTGGTGTGCACCTGTAGTTGGCAGTTATTTGGAAGGCTGAAGCGGAAGGATCGCCTGAGCCCAGCTAGACGTGGCTGCGGTGGCTGTGAGCGTGCCACTGCACTCTAGTCTGGACAATAGAGTGAGACACCAATTAAGAAAAAAGAAGACATCAATTCTACCCTGTTGAAATGCTCGCATGACTACCATGATGGGGCCGTGTGCATAGCTTGTCTAATGCTCCACACGGGGGCTGTCATTCTTGCCCCCTCCCTATCGACCCTAGCATAGCCGTTCTTTCAAGACAAGGGAAGGGACCCCCATGAGTGGGTATGACTTGCTCAAAGTCAGCCAGCCAGGACGTGGCAGGGTTGGGACTGGAAGAGGGGATTGTGGCCGTGCGTCCTGCAGTCCCTCTTCCAGGCAACATGGCCTACGTTCCCTCGTCTCTCGGTGGCTGTTGGTTTTGTTTTGTTTCTCAGAGACAAGGTTTCGCTATGTTTCGCTAGGCTGGCCTCAAACTCCTAGGCTCAGGCGATCCTCCTGCCACAGCCTCCTGAGTTGCTGGGACTACAGGTGTACGCCACCATGCCCAGCTTTGCTTCGTAGTTCTTAACCTCCTCCCAGAGAGTAAACTCAGCCTCAGGAAGACAAGACACGAGGACGGTTTACACCCAGTGGACAGACTGTGTGCTCAGTGACTAAGATCCAGCCGGTAGCCTCACCCTGCTGGGCTTTTTCTGGTCAATAGAAACTTTTCCTGGGAATGCTGGCACCGCAGGAGGCCTCTGTGGGAAGGCGGGGCTCACTTTTCGCCTAAGGGTGTGGACTCCCCTTGCCTCCCCGAGGGACGTGGTTCAGGGCTCTTGACTCAACGGGGGCTTTTGACCCCTGGCTGCAACTGCTGGATTTCCTCAATTGCCTGCATTGCCTTCTCTGCAGAGTTCGATAAATCCGACTGCAAAACCAGCAGGCACAGACCCTATGGCTCCAACTCACTACCTGGCCTCTTTGCTCAGAAATGTGACGCTGGGTCCCTGGGTCCAGCCCTGTCTGCTTCTGGAAGCACCGGCCCCTTTGCGACAAGAAGAGTCAGCTGTGAATCATTGTGTATTCCCTGGCGAGGGCTCCTTCTTGCAGCCTGTTACATCCACCTTCCAGACTGCGGGCCCCTCGAGGGACAGCCTCATGGAACCCGGGCCTTGAGTCTCAGCTGACTTGGATTCCCTGTGGGACCTTGGGCGGCTCCTGGTCTCCCTGAGCTTTAGTGGATCCAGTTAAAGGTGGAGCTTGGAGTTGATGAGCCCAGAGGCCCTTTTCAACATAGAGTCACCTGTGATTCTGGTACTCGTGCGCCCCTCACAGCCACAGCCACGGTGGCCTGGTGGCTGTAGCCCACCCTGAGTGCACGCAATTGGCCGTACTTGTGTGTGTGCCTACCTGCTGTTGGTTTAATCCAGGCTTGCTTATTTTGGGAAGTAAAGCTTGACTCTGTGTTAGCACCAAGGCGTTGGGTTAACACATGCCCAAGCTCAAGGAGCACTGGACCTGTGGCCAGTTACTCGGGAAAGTTGCCCGACAACCTCAAGCTTGACTTTCCTCGGTTCCCTTATCTGTCAAATGGGAATGATCCAAATTTTGACCTCTCGAGGTTGTTAAGAGGAGCAAATCACATACTGTCGGCGACTTCCCTGTATAAGCCATAAAGTCATGCTCAAATGTAAGGATTTAACCCTGAACTCTCAGTCTTGTCTTTGATTTCCTGTTTCCTAGAAGCCTGATCACCAGGTCAACCCAAGCCTGTGTTTTTACCGGAAGCGTCTTAGAAAGATATACATACTAAGTTTTTTTTAAAGGAGATTTTATTTTAAGGTGGAAGCTGAGACGGTTGAGACCACATTGTTCTAGATAAATGACTGACTTCCCAAGGTCTCACAGCAAATCAAGGCCCGGTTTCCAACGAGGCTGCCCTCTCAAGGAAACCACAGTTTAGAAGATGGCTCTAACAGGCTGTAATTTGCACTTTTTGGGTTCTGATTCCCACATGTCTGATTATCAGGAAAATGTGCCACATCAGGCTGAAAAAGACTCAGACAGCTGTAAGTTACACTGAACCAGAACAGCATCACAAAACCAGCTTCCTGGTGGGAAAAAAGCCAGTTCTGTCTGGTAATTTTTTTTCTTCCTGTAGGTAGTGCCAGAAAAATATGAGGACTTTTTGCTCTTTGGAGCATTTTTCGAAGCGACCATGATTGACCGGAAGATTGGAGAGAAACCTATCAGCTTTGAAGTTTCCGTCGGTGAGTGCAGGCATGCACCGCACCGTGCCTGGCACCTGGTGTGGACACAGGACCTGTTGTGTGCAGTCAGCAGCCATCTTGGTGTCTGGAGTCGGGTGCCCCTTCCCAGGAAAGGGGATCCCATGGAGCACCACCAGCATCTACCCCAGGACAGCAGAGTAGGGGCTCAGCTTGACTGGGGTAGAGAGAACTGAGTCAGGGAAGGAGCCCCGCAGGGAAGGAGTTGGAATACTTTCCAGACTGAGGTCCTGCGGTTACAGGCTTTTGATCCTGGCCCTTTTGTCCTTTAAACAACATTGGCCAGCTGGAATGTGGCGAGCTCTGGGGCTTCCTTCCAGAAGAGGCAATGTTCAACTTCATCTTTGAAAGCATTTGAATCTGGTTGAGAATGGGAAACGGCACCATATGCTTGCAGGGGGCATCTATTCTCATACAAAGATATTTGCACACAAAAGCTGCCCCATCGGCAGCAGAAAGAAGACATCAGGATTTCTTTCACTCCCTCCCTCCCCACTTCTTTCCTTCTTTTTTTCCTTTTGAGTTGGAGTCTCACTCTGTCACCCAGACTGGAGTGCAGTGGCCGCTCCCAGCCACCGCAGCCTCGAGCTGCTGGGCTCCGG